TCGTCGTCGTCGTCGTCGTCGTCGTCGGCGTCGGCGTCGGCGTCGGCGTCGGCGTCGGCGTCGGCGTCGGCGTCGGCGTCGGCGTCGGCGTCGGCGCCGGCGCCGGCGTCGGCGCCGGCTTCGTCGTCTCGTTTTCTGAGGCGCTGGTTGGTTTTCTCGTTTTCTCGTTCTCTCGGCCCCTGGGTCGTGGTCTAGGTTTCTCAGGCCCTGGTTCGTTTTTCGTTTTGTCGGCGTCGGCGTCGGCGTCGGCGTCGTCGCCGCCCGAGCTAAGGGCCCGAGGGGCGGGGCCGGGCTACTCGGCGCTGCGGCGCAGCTGCGCCGCTGCCGCGCGCGAGGCCCCCGACCCCGGGGGGCGCAGGGGCCTGGTCGCGCAGCGTGGCACCACCCCCGCCGCGGAGCGAGACCCCCGCCGGCCAGCCCCCGAGGGAGACTCCCGCGGATGGGGTCCGAGTGCACGGGGTCGAAAGATCGCGCCGCAACGCCGATGCATCGGCGATGCATCGGCGATGCATCGGCGACGTCGGGGAATCAGCGGCGACATCGGCGTGGAGAAGCACGGGCTCCACATCGAGCCGCATCGCCGGTGCATCGGCGATGTGGCACGATTGTCCGACCCCATCTGCTCCGACCCCATCTGGGAGGCCTAGAATGCACCCCCCTGCGAACCCAGACCTCTGGTGCCCCCCTGAGATCCTGGCGCTGCACTTCCTTCGCGCCTGGCGTGTTCGCCTCATGTCGGGCCCAGGGGCCTCCGCAGATCGATCTGGCCCGGACAATAAGGACGCAGAAACACGGGCTCCGGGGCTCCGCTGGGTGTGATTTTTCGAGATGTCGTATATTTCTTTTGCAGCGTCGGATCTCAGGGTCTCTCGTCTGCTCCCGTCGGGCCACCGCTTCGTCCGGGCCCGCTCCTCCCCAAACCCCCGACGCCGTGATTTGCTATGTGCAACGTCGGCCCCCAGAGGTCTGGGCACCCTCCCGGGACCAGCTTCTCATCCTCAGTCGTTTTCTGACGGGCCCCAGGGCCCAGTGAGGGCCTCTCTGGAGGCCTCCTGGAGGCCGAAGGTAGGGAAAAACCTGCAGTCGTGATCTTTGGTTCACAGCGCGAGGGGGTCTGGGTCTGGGCCCCCTCCTCTCGCCGCTCCTGCGCACCTGCTCCCTCCCGGGGCGCTCGCGGCAACGCAAGACGAAGCCAGGACGAGGACAACTTCGGGTGAAGATAAATCGAGAATCGCGGAGATCTGGCGACTCTGGAGGATGTCTCTCGGGCGCCGCGCCCTTCTCAGAGCGGTCCGGAACGCTCTGAGAGCGTTCCAGAACGCCCTGGAACGGATTTATCCTCGTCCTAGCCCCGCCCAACCACGACGATCTTCAGGGGTCCAGAGCTGGCCTTCCACCGGACGTGCCACGGCGGACCCGTGATGCTCCCAGGCCGCGGTGGATTTCGGCAAGGCGGTCGGAGATGCCGGGCCCACCAACCGAAGTGGGCCATCTTAGGGCGTGATCCGAGGCTCGGCTGCTCCCAGACCTCTGGCGTCTCGCAGAAATCAAGGTGGAGGCTTTTCCTAGTTTTCGACCGCTTGGGGCCCTTACCTCGGTGGCGAGCGAGGGGGGGAAGTGAGAAGGGGAAGACCTTCTCGGAAAGCGCCAGGGAGGGCTCCTCAGAAGCCCTCGGGCCTTCTGGGCAGTTCTCTGCGTCTTCGGGGAAGGCTGCTTAGGAAACTTCTCAGAAGACCGGGGGACTTCCGAGCCTTCGGAGAAGGCCCGTCCCTTCTCGCTTCCTCCCCCGGGCTCGCCGCCGCTTCGCGGGCCTCGGTACCCTGAGATCCGACGTTGCAAAAAAATTGCAACATCGCAAAAATCGCGCCCGGAGACCCGGACCTCATCTTTCCGCGTCACTTTTCGAGCCCGATCGATCTGTGAGGGTCCCGGGGCCCAAAATCAAGCGAAAACGCCCGTTGCAAAAAAATTGCAACGCCAGGATTACCGCGTGACAAAAACGGCTCGGGACGAGAAGCCCGTCCCGGGGAAGTGCACGGTCGAGACCCAGGCCCCCGACGTCGTCGTGATTTGCTCCTTCCCCGGGACCGGTTTCTCATCCTCAGCCCTTTCCTGGCGGCCCCGAGGCCCGGTGAGGGCCCCCGGAGGCCGAAAATCATGAGAAGCCTCCCGTCGTGATTTGTCCACAGCGCGAGGGGGCCTGGGGACGCCGGACGCCTGGGCCTGGACACCCCGAGGCGGCGCGGCTGCACGGCGGCTCTGGCGCGGCCACGCCGCCACGCCCTGGGGGGTTTTGTCAGCCCTGGCCGCCCTGCGCTGGGCGGGGCTGCCAGGGCCAATGGGCTTGCTGTCCCCTGAAGGATTTCCCGTCGGGAAAGCGCGGCAGGGCCTCCTCCTCCTCCTCCTCCTCCTCCCCCTCCTCCTCCTCCTCCTCCTCCTCCTCCTCCTCCTCCTCCTCCTTTCCTCTCCCTCCTCGTCATTCTCTCTTCCCCTCCTCTCCCACCCCCGCGGCGGCCCGGCTTTTTCCTGAAGGCTCTGGCCGAAGCCGTGCAGCGGTGCTGGTCCAATGACGGCGTGGCGGGGCAGGCAGGCGCCTCCGCAGGCGGGCGTGTGTGGCGCCGCGAGCGGCGTCGTCAACGACGACGACGACGACGACGACGACGACGACGACGACGACGACGAAGACGCGGCAGCCGAGTCCATCGACGACGGCGGCGAGGGAGAAAAACGAAGAGAAACCCAGAGATCCGGGTCCGCACCGCAAACCGGGCCAGCTCGAAAAATACGATGCACAAAGATGGGGCCCAAGGCTCCGATGCGATATTTCGCGATGTTGCGTTTTTTCGCAATGTCGGATCTCAGGGAGACGAGGAGGAGGAGGAGGAGCAATAATCATATAGCACCCCACAATTGCGGATAAGAGTGAGGGGGCGGGCGCGGGCGACGCGGGCGTCGAGCCGGCGGACCTCGTGGCCCTCACCTTCCCTGTCGATGGCACCCTCCTCCTCCTTCTCCTCCTCCTGCTTCTCCTCCTCCTCCTCCTCCTCTTCCTCGTCCGCGACCTTGTCCTCGTCCTCATCGACGTCGTCGTCGTCGTCGTCCGCCTCCTCCTCCTCCTCCTCCTCCACCTCCTCCTCCTCCTCTTCCTCCTTTACCTCCTCCTCCTGCTCCTCCTCCTCTTTCTTCTCCTCCTCCGCCTCCTCCTCCTCTTCCTCCTCCCAGGCACGTACCCAGTCCTCCTCTTCCTCCTCCTCCTCCTCCTCCTCCTCCTTCTCCCCCATCCCGCTCCTCCCCCCTCCTCTTCCTCCCACCCCCCAGGCGTGCTCTGACAAGTTCAGCGCGGGGGGGGATCGCTTGTGGGCCACCCGCAAGGAATGCAAAAACAGCCCGCCGCAGGCGCCGAAGTTTTGGCTTGATCAGTGAACGTAGTTTGGGTCGCGGGTGGGTCGCGGGCTCTCCACCTCCACCTGGAAGGAATTCAAAAACAGCCCGCCGCAGGCGCCGAAGATATTGATTCGTACACTGAACGCGGTTTGGGTCAGAGGTTCTCCACCTGGAACGAATGCAAAAGAAACCCGCCGCAGGCGCCGAAGTTTTGGCTTGTTCAATGAACGTAGTTTGGGTCGCGGGTGGGTCGCGGGCTCTCCACCTCCACCTGGAAGGAATTCAAAATCAGCCCGCCGCAGGCGCCGAAAAGTTTGATTTGTAAGCTGAACGCGGTTTGGATCGCGGGTGGGCCGCAGGTTCTCCACCTGGAACGAATGCAAAAAAAGCCCGCCGCAGGCGCCGAAAATTTTGGGTGGGTCGCGGGGTGGGTCGCGGGTCGGTCGCGGGTGGGTCGCGGGTGGGTCGCGGGTGGGTCGCGGGGTGGGTCGCGGGTGGATCTCGGGGTGGGTCGCCGGTGGGTCGCGGGTGGGTCGCCGATGCAAAAGAAACCCGCCGCAAGCGCCGAAGTTTTGGCTTGTTCAATGAACGTTAGTTAGGGTACGCGGGTGGGTCGCGGGGTCTTTTCCACCTCCACCTGGAAGAGATTCAAAGAAAATGGAAGAGATTCAAAAAACAGCCCGCCGAAGGCGCCGAAAAGATTGTAAGCTGAACGCGGTTTGGATCGCGGGTGGGTCGCAGGTTCTCCACCTGGAACGAATGCAAAAGAAGCCCGCCGCAGGCGCCGAAAATTAGAGGGTGGGTCGGGGGTGGGTCCGGGTCGGTCGCGGCGGGTCGCCGGGTGGGTCGCGGGTGGGTCGCGGGAGGGTCGCGGGGTGGGTCGCGGGTGGGTCGCGGGTGGGTCGCGGGTGGGTCGCGGGGTGGGTCGCGGGTGGGTCGCGGGTGGGTCGCGGGTGGGTCGCGGGTGGGTCGCCGGGTGGGTCGCCGGGTGGGTCGCCGGGTGGGTCGCGGGCGGGTCGCGGGCGGGTCGCGGGTGGGTCGTGGATGGGTCGCCCGGGGTGTCTCGGGGTGGGTCGCGGGTGGGTCGCGGGGTGGGTCGCGGGTGGGTCGCCGGGGAGGTCTCGGGGTGGGTCGCGGGTGGGTCGCGGGGCGAGTCGCGGGTGGGACGACGACAACAACAAACAACAAACAACAAACAATAACAAGAATCCGCATCGCGGAATTCCACTTCAGCCACGCACCCAGGGACAGTGAATGACAGTTCGGTTCAGCCAACTCACTCTGATAATGATAATAAGATAACTAATCATAAGAATGCGAGTTTACCAAAGAACAGGGGCCAGCGAGATGCCCAAGTTGGGAAACTGGTAGTGACCCAGGCAGCTCTCCATCACAAGATGGCCCCCGAGATCCCATACATAAGCCCAAGACCACCCAAGAGGCCCTCAGAGGGCCCCCCCAAAGCTCCGCAGCTGTGATAAGGCTCGAAGAGGATGCCCCCTAGTCCTCCAAAAGGCCACCAAGAAGCCCGTCCAAACAGACACGGAGAAAAATGAAGACAATTTAGCAACAACATTGGGAAGTACCGAGCAACACATACGAAACCAGAAGCTACACATATATCCTCTTGGCGCAAGCCTCTTGAGTAAGACGCGCACTGCCGAATAAGGAACAGACGAGGATGGGGAGGAGGGAGGAGGAGATGAGGAGGGCGAGAAAGAGGAACACGAGAATTTTGGACGTTCAATATGTCTACAGCCACTGAGGCCTCAGGAAGCCTGCAGATGCCTCCAGGGACCTGTGAGGGCCCCACTTCCAGATAACTCTGCAGGTTGATGGGCAGGATGGAGGACGGGGAGGAGGACGAAGAGGAGGAGGGGTATGTTTCTCTACACATCGATGTATCAGCATTCGTACATTTGAATATATATATATATATATATATATATATACATATATGTATACATATATATATATAACGAATATAGTTGTATGTAAATGCGTGTGTATATGTACGCATGCATTTACACATGTATGTGCACACGTAGATATATACACATACATCAATACATACATACATACATACATACATACATACATACATACATACATACATACATACATACACACATACACGCATACATACATACATGCACACATACATGCATACACACATGCACACATGCACACACAGTCAGTACTTCCTGCACGCATCTATACATACAGCCAGCCATGCATGCACAACCGTATACACACATATATACATGTATACCTACATACAGACACACACACACTCATGCATACATACATGCAAACCTACATATATACATACATACACACATATATACATGCACGTATACAAACATACATACTTTCATGCGTACACAAACACCACTTTCCATGTTCAAACACATACATGTATACACCTGCATAGATGTATGCATGTATACACATCCATACACACATACATACATGCATACATACATTCACGCATATATACATACATGCATGCATACACACATACGTACATACATCCATGCACACATACATACATACATACATACATACATACATACATACATACATACATACAACCATACATGCATCCATGCACACATACTTGCGTACGCACATACACACATACATGCATGCATGCATGCATGCATGCATGCATGCATGTACACACACATACATATATAAATACACATATCCAAACATGCATGCTTATATACATGCATGCATCATGCATCAACATATACATACATGCATGCATGCATGCCAGCATACATGCACACATCTATATCTACATACATTCATACGTACATGCGCGCATAAACAACTATGTATACATACATACAAACATACATGCATGTGTGTATACAGACACCTACACCTACACCTACACCTACACCTACACCTACACCTACACCTACACCTACACAAACACGTACACCTACATCACAAGCACCTACATCTACACATACATACATACATGCATGCATACAGGCACATTTACATACAGATGTACGTCTATATATATATGTATATATATATATACATATCAGGTATCAGTCGTGACCAGGGGGGGGGGGGGCTGGCTGGGTAGCATTGATGAGCCGGGGGGTTGGGGCAATCAGGGGCGGGGGTGCGCTGCGATCGCCATAATACTGGCCCCTTTCCAAAGGCGACCCCCTGCCCTGCCTGGGCGCATGCTCAGAAAATGGCCCGCGCCGCCGCCGTCATCGTCGTCGACGCCGCCGCCACCGCCGTCGTCGTCGTACCGCCATTCTTGTAGTTCTTGACATTTTGGTCGTTCTCGAAGTCGTCGTCGTCGTCGTCGACTTCGTCGTTCTCGACATTCTCGTCCTTCTCGTCGTCGTCGTCTTCGTCGTCGTCATCGTCACCATTCTCGTCGTCCTCGACATTCTGGTCCGTCTCGTCGTCGCCGAGGTCGCCTTCGTCCTTCTCGAAATTCTCGTCCTTCTCGTCGTCTCCGCCGTCGTCGTCGTCGTCGTCGTCGTCGTCGTCGTCGTCGTCGTCGTCGTCGTCTCCTCGCTTTCCCTCCTCCAGCACCCTTGTCGGCCTCTGAGGCGGCTCCAGGACAGCCTGAGCCCGCCCCGATCCTGCGGCTGTCAAAGGGGCCGCCCCAAGACCGAGCAAGAGCAGCCCAGCGACACCCGAAAGGCGCCAGGGCGTTCGCGTGGAGCCCTACCTCCGTTGAGATCCTGGCGCCGCAATCTTTTCACAACGCGCGTTTTCGCCCGGGCTCGGGCCCCGGGACCCTCGCAGATCGACCCATCTCGAGACATGACGCCGAAAGGGGTCCCTGGGGCTCCGGGCGCGATTTTTCGTAGTCTTTCCGCAAGGTCGGATCTCAGGGTCCTCTCGTCGTGGCAGGAGCACGACAGGCGGTTCTTGGCAAGCTTTGGCCGCTGGGGGCCCTCGCCGAGCTTCGTGGCCGCGGCCCAGAGCGGCCCGGCGACACCCGAAAGGCGCCAGGGCTCGACCAGGGGGTCGACTACAGAACTGATTTACCCCAAAATCGATTTTCCTGCCGAATCAGGGGAAAAATGCGTATAGCGTCTCGTAGATCTACGAACATTCTACTACGCGTTTCTTGCATCTTCGGCGAAAAACTACTTGTGGAGAAAATCCATTCTGTAGTCGATCCCCCATTCGAAGGGCGTCCGCGAGGAGTCCCACCTCCTCTCGTCGTGTCGTGAGACGGGCGGTTATTGGCAAGTTTTGGCCTCCGGGGGTCCTCACCGGGCCCCCGGGGCCGTCAACAAACAACCTTCCGGACGAAAAGCCGGTCCTGGGGATCCCGGACCCTGGACGCCGACGCGGACGACGCCGGCGACGATAACGACGACGATAACGACGACGACGACGACGACGACGACGACGACGACGACGACGACGACGAAAACGAAAACGAGGACGGGGACGGGGACGACAACGACGAGGACGAAGACGACGACGAGGACGACGACGAGGCCCACACTCCAAAGAGATGCTCAAATAGGCATCGAGCCGGGCGCCCATGCACCGACAAACTGTGCAAGACCAACGCTGCTTATCAACGCATTTCGCTTCTGAAGGTTTCCGACTTCAGGTCACTCCGTGAAAGCTTCAGGGAGCGCCGAGATGCCCCGCAAGACGGCCCCAAGAGGACCTCAAGACAGTCCCAAGACAGTCTCTCGAGGGCCCCAGACGATTCAAGCAGGCCTTCCGGGGAGAGCTCGGGAGAAGCATCGCGACTCGACCCCTCAGCAAGCCCTGAAAGGCCCAAAGACGATCCCAAGAGGCCCACAGAAGCGCCGCAAGACGCCTCCAGGACGCCTTCAAGAGGGAGGATGAAGAAAGCGGGATGAGGATGAGAAGGGGGAGGGAGGAGGACGAGAGAGGAACATGAAACGTTCGAGGGCGAGTAGGAGCAGGACAGCGAACCCGATAACAAAGAGGACGTTTTGAAGAGGAGACGGGAAGAAGGGCAGTCTTCCTCCCAAGGGCCCGAAGCCACGAGTGACCAACCCCTCGCCCGAGTCGGCACTGACAAGAAGGTCTTCCATCCACGCGGAGATGGCCGATTCCACGAACTCTGAACAACAACATGCTGACGCCTCTCTTTTCCTTCCGCCGCCTTCCGCTTTCCGAGCCGCCCCTGTCTTCCTTCCGCTGGCTTCGGCTGAGTGCGAGACGGGCCGCACCAGGGCTTCGGGTTACGCACAGAACGGGCCCCCCGAATACAGCGGAGACCAGTCCACAAGAAACCTTCCACAAAAAAATCCAACCCCGAGACGACAGGACGTCCATTGGTTTTTGGTGTGGGAACGTCACGCCTTCCACAAAAAAGAAGCCATCGAAATCCAGGAAACCCAGGGCACCCTGGAGGCAAGCAGGGTGTGTCTTGGCATGGGCCCCCCCTAATAGCCCAGGGCAGTCTCAACATCCCAACCCTGGGGCGCGGAGCGCCCCAGTGGGGCCGCCGGAGAGGGCTACTCGGGGGACCTGTTGAGGTCAGCCGGGACTGACTGAGGGGTCTGTCTGTCAACCCGAAGGCCTAACCCTCGTGACACGAAGCTGCCCTGGGTCCCTCAGTGCGCAAGACGATACAGCATCTCCTCCTCCTCCTCCTGCTCCTCCTCCTCCTTCCTCCTCCCACCCCTCATCATCCTCCCTCCTCCCTCTTCCCCTCTCCTCCCTCCTCCTCCTTGCGACACCGTCGCGGTCTGCGCCCTCCTCCTCCTCCTCCTTCCTTCTCCTCCCTGGTCCTCCCTCCACCTCCTCCTCCTCCTCCACTCCTTTTCTTAATAAAGAACTTCTCCCTGTCTCAGCCCGAGGCTGGTCGAACGGGCGGGCCGGGCGTTTCGCCTGAGACTTCCTCACCACTCATGACCCTGAAGCTTAAACATTGGCAGCGGCTTCACAGATGGAGAGCGGGTCGCTTTCGAAACGTGGCTCTCGTCTCAGCGCCGCGCGCATTCGTTTGAAACATTGCAAAGAGTTTCTCGGATTGAGCGCGGGTCGTTTCCAACATATGACTCTCGCCTTAGCACCGCGCACACTCGTTTTAAACATTGCAAAGAGTTTCCGGATTGAGCGCAGGTCGTTTTCAAAATGTGGCTCGCCTTAGCGCCGCGCATATTCTTTTTCAACAAATAGCAAGAGCTTCACTGATTGAGGACGGTTCGTTTTCAAAATGTGGCTCTCGCCTTAGCGCCGCGCGCATTCATTTTCAACAAATTGAAAGAGCTTCATGGATTGAGGGCGGTTCATTTTCAAACTGTGGCTCTCGACTTAGCGCCGCGCGCATTCGTCTTTAGCACTACAAGACTTTCACGGATTCCCACGGTCAACGTACCAGAAATGGTGTTTTGGAAAGATTCAGGATTATGAGGGCGCGACAGTTATGTTGATTCGCGGTGCTGAAGTTCCAAGAACGGCGTTCTGGCACGATTCAAGACCGTCAAGAAGCAGCAATCAGGTTGATCCGTGGCGTTTGAGTCTCGGACTACTTGCTTTGGCATGCTTCAGGGTCTTCAAACGGCTGTCTTCCAATGAGGCAGTTCCCTCAATGGAAATGAACCCTTGCATGGGGCACATGAAGAGGGAGCTTGGAGGGAGGGTTCATGCCAACATCGTTGACGACTCTTGGGTTTACACTGGTCCTCCTCCTCCTCCTCCTCCTCCTCCTCCTCCTCCTCCTCCTCCTCCTCCTCCAAGCCCCTGCTCATCGCCTGCCTGCCGCATACACTGGGAACCATTTTTTTCTATTCAGGGCAATTGTTTGACGGCCCTGGGGCCCGGCGAGGGCCCCCAGAGGCAGAAGACTGCCAAAAACCGCCGATTGTGATTTTAGTTTCCCACGACGACGACGCGAAGGGGTGGGGGCCCTTCCCTCCTCCTTCCTCCTCCCTCCCCCGAGATGCTCCGACGTTGCCAAAAAATGCTACCTCGCGGCGAACCACGCCCAGAGCCCTAGACGCCATCTCGCTGCTGCGTACGCGACGGCCCTGGGGCCCGAATCAGGCGAAAATGGCCGGTGAGAAAGAACTGGGACGCCCTGGTCTCAAGACTCCTCCCCCCGCTGCCTCCCGAACATCCGGCGTCTCGATTTTCTCAAAGTGCGGGCCGCCGACATACATCTCGACAGACAGCTTCACCGGAGCTGGCTCTTCATCCCGAGTCGTTCTTAGACGGTCCCGAAGCCCAGCAAGGGCCCTGTGAGGCCGAAAACGACGAGAAGCCTCCGTCTCGATTTTTTTGTCGAGACTCCAGGTGTCTGTCGAGAAGGCGGAGCCCCAGATGTCTGGGCAATTCCTTCCCCCCCTCTCCGCCCTGCCCGCCTGCCGCATGCCAGCGTCAGCGCCGCTCTCGGGTGCGCGAACGCGCCGAAGGGGGGGAGGGGCGGCCGCGGCGAGCGCGGCCATCCCGAGCGTGTCCGCGCCCTGCGCCCTGCGTTCGCGCGCGCTCGTCGTTCTCGTCCTTGTCCTCCTCCTCCGCCCCTCAACCCTCTCGATGATCCTCAGAACGTGTGTTAGCGCCAGCGAGTGCTTGTCCAACGTCGCCCTTCGATACGACGCAGGCGGCACAGCGGGGGCCGACTCAGGCGATGTGCTAGCGACGGAGTCGAGCGGGGTACACACACACATTGGGCTGACACACGTTCTGAGAATCATGGACCCTCCCTCTCTCCCTGCACCGCCCCCCGCACGACGGACGATTGTTGGCCGTTCTCTGCCTCCAGGGGCCCTCGCTGGGCCCCGAAACGGTCAAAAACGACCCCAGGTGAAACACCCGTCCCAGGAAAAGGGTCCACACGGGGGCCCACGTTGTGAAAACTCACGACGTCGGAGTTCTGGGTTTTCCCGTCATTCCACCCCTCCCTCGAAGGCGTTTCTTTATGTTCGGCGATGACGGGCGTCATTGGGGGGGGGGGGGGGGCGGGGGAGGGGGGGTATGACGTGACGCCCCCCCCCCGCCGTGTGGCTCCGGCACCACAGCCGCGCCCGCGCGCACGACGCGACGAGCGACGAGCGACGAGCGACGACGACGACGCGAGCAGCATGTAAGTGGCGATCTGCCCATTGCGCCTGTGTGCACCACAACGCTCGCGTGCACCACACCGCGCGCGTGCACCACAGCGCCTGCGTACACCGCAACAGCCGTGTGCAACGCACCGACCGTGTATGCCACAATACTTGGGAGCACTACAGCGCCGGTGTACATACACCGCAACAGCCATGTGCAACACAACGCCTGTGTACACCACAGTGCTTGCGTGCACCGCAGCGCCTGTGCACGCCACATCGCCTGTCTACACCACAGCATCCGCGTGCAACGCAGCGCTGGTGTACACCACAGTGCCTGCGTGCATAGGACAGGTAGAAGGAGCATGTACGTCAGGATCTGATGCGGACAGCTAAAAGCCACGCCAGGAAAGTCCTGATAATCGAATGCGACGTTTTTCCCTCCTCCCTCCTCCTCCACCTCCTCCTCCTCCTCCTCGTCCTCCTATTCCTCCTTCTTACCCCCTGTCGTGCGGCTTGGCGTTACAACGCACGTGCGCATCTCAGCGTGCACCGCAGAATGGTCGATTGAATCGGTCCACTTGGTTCTCGGACGGCCAGTTTAGCTGGAGCCTCCTGGACGCAAATGAGAGTTAGGGTGATGCGGGCGGACTCGTGGGGACTCGTAGATTCCAGCGGCGCTCCTTTGTCCATGAGGATTTGTTTTCCATCGTTTTCTCAGGAATCCACACGCGCTCCATTTTGTCACAAGGATTCCTTCTGAAATTCTATACACAACAATGGTGCTGTGTTGCACACGGCTGATGTGGTGCACTCAGGCGCCGTGGCGTACACAGGCGCTGCAATGCACGCAGGCATTGTGGTGTACACTGGTGCTGTGTTGCGCACGGCTGATGTGGTGTACGACAGGAGCTGCTGTGCCCGGAGGCGCGGTGGCACAAACTGACGCTGTGTGGCACGCGGCTGCTGTGGTGTACATCGGCGGCGTGGTGTACACAGGCGCTGTGGTGCACGCGGGCACTGTGATGTACACAGGCATTGTGGTGCATATCGCCACCTACATGTTCGTGCTACCCGTCCTTCGTCATTCGTAACTATTCCCAAACGCCGCCGGCGCGAAACGTGACGTCATCGACCCCCCCCCAGATGATTGCCGTCATCGGCCCGGACTTAAAAACAAGCTCCAGCCGCCTCCGCGCGCACGACGACGATGAGCGATGAGCGACGAGCGACGAACCACGAGCGACGACGACGAACGACGACGACGACGACGACGACGACGACGACGACGACGACGAGAACGACGACGCTTGCGGACCAGACACCTATGCGGATTCCTACGCGGACACCTACGCGGATCCCAATGCGCACGGCGGCAGTGCCGGGAGCGCACTGGGGGGGGGAGCGTTACGTCATAGGGGGGCGGGGGAGGGGGGAGCGGGGGCCATGACGCCCGTCACGCCCCAAGCAACAAAGAAATGGCCTCCTCCTCCTCCCCTACCCCTCCCCCTCCCCCTCCTCTTCCTCCTCCTCCTCCTCCTCCGACGTCGACGACGCCGACGACGACGACTCAAGCGGAACAGCGTCTCACACACGCCGAAAAGTCGGCGGTTTCTGCCCGACTTTAATGTTGGGGTGCAAGCGCGGCACAATCCCAAATCAGAACGTCAAGCAAGGTAGTGCGGCTCCGCAGTTACCGGGGGAAAAAACACCTTAACATCAAATTACGGAGGTCCGCGCGGATTTCTCGGATCGGTGCTGGGCCCGGAGAGGCGCCGCCAGGGGGGCCTAGCGCCGATGAGAGGAATCCGCGCGGACCTCCGAGGTTCTCATACTTATGTCTTTGTTCGCTCGCCTAAGTTAGGGCCCCGACGCCATGATTTGTTCACGACGTCGGCACCCGGAGGTCTGGACCCATTCCCCATGGACCTGTTTCTCATACTAAGAGTTGTTTCTTGACGGCCCCGAGGGCTGGTAAACGCCCCTGGGGCCGCACATCGCGGAAAACCTCCCGTCGCGATAGTCTCTCGAGGGGGTCTGGGAAGTTAGGACCCCCTAAGAACGAAGAGCGAGAATTGATGAGAGAGGAGGAGGAGAAGGAGGAGGAGGAGGAGGAGGAGGAGGCGGAGGATGAGGAGGAGGAAGCGGAGGAGGAGGAGGAGGGGGAGGAGGAGGAGGCGGAGGAGGAGGAAGAGGAGGCGGAGGACGAGGAGGACGAGGAGGAGGAGGCGCAGGATTGGATTGGATTGGAGCTCCTGGAATCCTGTCAGAACAACTTGCCAGCTTGATTGCGTCAATCAAAAGTTTCCAGTCTGTCCCTCGAGGATTCTGAAACAGCTACTACGCCGCCCACCGTGAGTCATTGCGCAGTCCTCCGCCGCACTCTGCACCAGGGCAGCACTGGCCAGGCCCGCGCTCAGGCCCGCGCGCAACAGGCTCTACGAGGCGGGCTCGAATGCATGGGGTGCCTAACTGCTCCCGCTCGGTCCCCGCCACCGCGACCGCGACCCCGTCCCCCTCCCTCTGGCGGCGGAGGCGCAACAATTACTGGTGCGTGAGGAAGATTCTCATGTGCATGCGTGAGAGTTCTGTCCAGTAAGAGCCCAAGCGCATCAGGCGAAATAAAACTCCTATCAATCAGTTGCTGGAGTCTCTCAGATCGGCCCAGTGCCTCACTCATTTCAAAGTGTGGGACCTGGCGCGAGACCTTCTGGATCGTAAGCGACGACTTGACCTTCTCGATCCAGATCGCGGTCCACTCCTTCTCGGTGGCCTCTTCCGACGCCCTGTTCTCGCCAGCCGACGCCGCGCGCTCCATGCCGCGCGTCGCCGCCGACGCGAACGACTGGGCGTGGCGTGAGGTGGGCTTCTGGCGTCGAAGTCCACCTCATTGCCCCCCTGCTTCTCTTTGCGGAGGCGCTTGCTCTCGTTATCGTAATCTCTGCCCGTCTTGATGAGCGCGGATGCCCAGCCTCCGTCTGCTGGGAGCTCGCGGCGCAGGAAGACCGCTGACATGAGCTCCGACACCTCTCGCGTAATGGTCAGGAGCAACATTGCGACCGACTTCAGGAGGCGCCTGTCCTGGTTGCCCTCCTCCTCCGTTTTGCGACCCTTGCTCGCCCGCTCCTGCTCGTCGTTGCCCTCGCCCACTTCGGCCGCCGCGTCGAGCTGACGCTTGCCCGTGCTGAACCGCAGTGGCACCTCCATTTCCTGGTCCGCCGCGGACGCCGCCCCCGTCGCCATCAGCACCTCTTCGGATGGGGCGAAAAGCCTCGATCTCAACTTGCAAGTGCGAGCAGAGATGAGAGCGCGCATCTTTCAGGCTTGAACCTCGAAATGGCATGCACGGCAGACCAGAGACTTCGGAATAGCAGCCTTCGTCTTGAAGGTCGAGGGGCCTCGTGTCTGTCAGCGGCCCCTCTCCATGGGTCCCCGGAGGCGTCGAGCGGCGCCCTTTGTCGTCGCAAACACTTGCTCACAAGATACGCAGACCTGTGAGGGAGTGGGGGCACAAGCCGCGCTGAGTATCCGATGCGCCCGTCGCACGTCGTTTATCAACTTGCTGCGAGACAAGTGAGATTCCGTACATTCACAGCCGCCCTCCTTGATGCTGCCGCAGACGAAGCCGCGGGGGTCCGTCTCTCGGGGGCCAGGCCAGTTCCTATCAGGACCCCCCTGCGCTTCAAACCCTGGCGGTGGGATCGCAGTCGAAAAGCAGCGGGATCTAATCTGGGGCGTGTCCACCGCGCCAAACTCCGACATCACCTCCCCGTCCTTGCAACGCCCAAGGTCACCCGACAGGTGCCTCGCGACCGAGTCTTCCAAGTATTTCGAGGCGGAATCCAAATCAGCTTTGACCTGCTTGACCCATGGCGACGAATACTGCGTGGGGAGGCCTCCAAGCAATTGGGGTCGGACAGAATCGATGGGCATATCTCCAAACAGCGAGCGTAAAACCTGCGCGCGGTACCGAGAATCCTGAGCCCACCCCTGATGCAGCCGACGTCGTCTGAACAACATCTCCGTGCTACTTGGAACTACTTGCCAATGCTGTTGGATACTGGCGCATCCATGCTGCGCATCTCGTCATCCTCCCTCGCGCAAGCCCCCCCATCATCGCAATCCTCCCCATCGCCGCTAGACCTCGATCAAGTCGGTCATGATCCGACGGAGAGAGGATATAAATGCTCCCAGGCCGCTCAAGACGGCGTTCTGGGCAAAGCCCATTAGTACTGTGGAAGGATGTCCCGGCTGCCTGGATACGTCCAGTGACCTCATGTGATGCAGGTACTCTCGTAACAATATGGGGTCCCGGATATCGCGCCCAGTTGCGCGGCCGCCCCGGGCGCAAAGAAGGATTGCCACGCAACATCTTGCTGCAACGGTGCCCTCCCGCACTCAAGAGAAAGTGCCCCAGCGTGACCCGACCGAGAAGTTGGAGCCCCTGCGAAAGCAGCATTAGTTGCTATGCTATGCGATGCTATGCTGCGCGATGCTCTTCTATGCTCTGCTCTGCTCTGCTCTGCTCTGCTCTGCTATGCTATGCTATGCTGCGCTTTGCTGCGCTATGATATGCCATGATATGCTGTGTTTTGATAAGCTATGATATGTCATGCTGCGCAGTGGTATGCTGAAATATGCTAAGGTATACTATGATAGGCTATGCTCTGCTATGCGAAGCTGCGCTATGCTATGCTACGCTATGCGATGCTATACTATGATATGATATGCAATGATATGACATGTTATGCTATGCGATACTATGCTGCGCGATGATATGCTATGCTATGCTATGATATGCTATGCTATGCTATCATATGCTATGTTATGTTATGCTGCGCTGTGCTGCTCTATGCTTTGTTATGCTATGATATACTGCGATATTCTATGATATGCTGGGTTATGCTATGATATGCTATGCTGCGCTATGCGATGCTACGCTATGCGATGCTATGCTGTGCTCTGCTATGCTAAATCTCAGCGAAGCTAAAATGAAGGCAAGCTAAGCTAAGATAGCCCTGAGCTAAGATGAAGCTAAGCTAAGCTAAAATGAAATAAGCTAAGCTAAGATGAGATAAGCAACGCTAGGCTAAGGGAGCGTCGCTGGGGGAACCGCGGGGCGGGTCCTGGGGGAACCGCCCGGGGCGGTTTCCACTGCCCGGCCCTTTCAGAGAACAGGGTAAGAACCTTTCTACGCATAACCTAGGTAGGGAACAAGCACTCCTGAAAACAATCTGGCCATATCCATACTGACTAAGACACTCATTAAGTAGATCATCGGATGCACGGAGCTTTTCTAGCACACCATCAAGAATGGAATCAACGCCAGCAAGCATCCGCATATAAGTAGTGTCAAGTCGGCTCTTAGCTCCCCCACGACGCAAAGATCCTCTGCGCAAGAAGCCCCCCTTCCATAGAGTCGCGCCCCCAGGCCGAGATGGGTCGAGTAAAGGTGGGCAAAAACATCGAAACATTGAAAGGGTCCTCCATTGTCCCGCCTGGACGTGGCCTGACCAGTCAATCACCTGAGGAGGACGGGAGTGCAATAACAGAACCATGGTAACGATGTTTACACACTGTAACATCATGTTCGTGGCAGTGTAGGTCAACAGAATCTCTCATAGCTTCATGGGTGAGCTAGCGAAGGCGTTAGACACGTCCTTGAAGCGCGCGCAGTAAGTTCTGGACACCGACACCGTCTTCAATCTCAAAATAATGTCCATCGAGATCGTCGCCGCCTCGCCCCTCCTCCTGCCGGCTGCAAAACCATGATTCTGCGGTATCGGGCAAGGCGACAGTTTGCGAGCATAGTGCCCCTTCCCAATCGCAGGCAACACGTGGATTACCCCCTTGCCCAGTGGACCCGCAGCGTGTGACTTATGAAGGGCAACCGCTCGGCTTCGATGCCAGTGGAGAGGCGCTAGATTTCGTCGACGCATCTTCTGCAACCCCACGCTGCGCAGAAACCCAAACGCTGCGTTGTCAGGGGGAGATGATTCCATGCCCAATCCGAAGCGCTGTTGCGCGCGCCACTCGAGGAATAAAGCCGTGTGCCACAACTCCAATGGGGCGGTATTATCAAGGACAAGTTCTCTCTTCGGGGCGTTGATCCTGCATTTGCGAATCTCGTTCATATCGGAGGCCACTAACTCGATCGAGTCCGAATCGGTGCAGTCGCAGTCGCAGCTAGGCCCCCCCCGCCCAAGTCTCCAGTGCTCCCAGGAAAACTCTTCGACCCGCATCCCCCTGCTGATCCAGGGCGCTTCCATGGCTCGAGCCACTCGGTCGAGTTCGGGGGAGCCCCGCTCGCAAGACGGGTACCCCGTCTTTCGGGTCCAAACCTGCATCGGGCGGCCCGCCTTGAGACGAACATCGCCTCCGCGGTCCTCTGCCGATTCCAATATCCAGTGGCTTCTTCAATCAAACGTGCCCGTTGCTGACGCAGATGCTGTCGTCTGTCCCGCTGAAGAATCGATGAGAGCTTGCCGAACTCCTCCCCCGCCTGCTGCGCTATCTCTTCCGCCTCGTCAAACTTCTGTCCTCGAAGCTCGACCCGACGACGCAAAAGATCACGACGACGCCTACAGTCTCCCCCGCGTCCAGGCCGCGTACAATTGTCCCGAGTCAAATGTTTTTCCCCCGCCGCCACCAGAGCCCCTTCCAGGAATTCGAAAATCGCATCTGGAGGTGCATGATCGCGCAGATAAGCAACATCAGCTCCCCGGCAGCACTGTGTTTAACTCCGGAATGTAGTCCCACCCCCCCTTCCCATTTTTACGGTTTTCCATCATGGTCGCATGATTCCATCTTCTGCTCTCGTCAGGAACACGCCGTAGTCCACCCTGGTTAAATGTGAGATCTCAGGTGGGGCACCTCGTAAAGACTGCAGTGTAGCGCCAAGTCGACTAAGTGGGTGGCAGTGTTTAACAAGATGCACTAGACCCTGAGGGGATGCATACGTAGTCTATGCGACGCATGCTGTTGTTGCCGAAGAAATTGTGCTCGATACGATGGCTCGATACGAAGAAATTGTGCTCGATACGATGGGACGTGTCGCTCCAGAAGCCCCCGAACACGCTCACCTTCTCCCCCGAACCTTCTCCAATGTAGATGTTTCAATCGCACTACTGGGAATCTCCTGAAAAGACCCATTCACCATCTTCCCCCCGAACCGCCGTTGACATCCGCGCACAATACCGGAACACACCGTACAGGAAGACTACTCAGAGCCGAGTCGAGCCAGGTGTTCAACATGTCGACGGTTTTGTGGTACCCCGAACGTTTCTGATTCCGAGACTTAGAGGGAAGAGGTGGATACTACATGCAAGTGGCATATAGATCAGCTGGTCCATTTTTCAATCGAATCGCCAGGGCCCTCCCAAGGGCCAAGTCAGGACTGCTCCGCATCTGTCGAACATCTTCAGCCAGAAAATGCCGGCCTACAGAGATCAGGACCCCGCAGCTGTTGTTAGAGTACGGAGCCTCACCATAAGGAGCCTCGCCTCGAAGAGCAGCTTCCGAACGACCCGCCGCTGCAGTGCCTGGGCGCCGCGAAGGGGGGTGTTGGCCTTCGTCCCTGCCATCATGACAATGTCATAGTTGCGGGTCTCATCCAATATTTCCTCCAGACGATCCCCCGTCGACCACATGGGGTTGTAGCCCAGGACTTGCAGGAACGACTCGGACATGAGTCCCCGCCAAAGGAAGACTTTCGCTGAAGGCACGAAGGTGAGGAAGAAAAGTGGCGTCCGTGAGTTTGCCTACCAAACCCAAACATTGTCCCTGAGCCACTTTGGGCTTAGGAGGCGGAGAAAAAGGAGGAGGAAGAGGAGGACGAGGAGGAGGAGGAGGAGGAGGAGGCCTCGGAGTCAGCGGGCGACGGCCGAGACGCATCGGTGGACGCCGCTCTCCGTCGCCCTGCTGCCCCCCCCCGGTTCGTCCTCGCGCTGGCGCCGGCCTCGAAAACCCCACGCCTCCTCCTGCTCCTCCTCCTCCTCCTCTTCCTCCTCTTCCTCCTCCTCCTCCTCCTCCTCTTCCTCCTCCTCCTCCTCTTCCTCCTCCTCCTACTTGGCTTGCACGCGGCTTCGCGTCTTGCATGCCCCCCTGCACTGATCCCATCGTGAGATCGTTTCGCGGACACCCAAGTTCCAAGTTCCTCCTCTTCCTCCTCCTCCTCGTCCTCCTCCTCCTTCTCCTCCTCCCTTTCCTCCTCCTACTCCGTGGCCTGCAAGCGGCTTCGCGCCGGCACT